GGTGTGGAGAAAAGGGAGCCCTTCTGCACTGTTGGTGGGAATGCAGATGTTGCAACCACTTGGAAAACAGTGTTTAGGTTTGTTAAAAAATTGAAAATAGAACAGTCTTATGACTCAGTGATTCCACTTTTGGGTATGTATCTGAAGAAACCCAAAACACTAATTTGAAAGAATATATGTACCCCTATGTTCACTGCAGCATTATTTACAATAGCCAAGATCTAGAAGCAACCTAAGTGCCCATCAGTAGATGAGTGGATTAAAAAGCTGTGGTACATATGTAAAATGGAATATTACTTAGATATAAAAAGAATGAAATCTTACTATTTGCAATAGCATGGGTGGACCTAGAGGGTATTATGCTAAGTGAAATACACCATTCTGATAAAGAGAAATATTATATGATTTCACTTATATGTGGAATCTAAAGAACAAAATAAACTAAATTCAAACAGACTCAGTCACATAGAGAAAACTGATGGTTACTAGAGGGCAGGGGTTTTAGGGGACTGTATAAAAGAGGTGAAGGGATTAAGAAGTAAAAATTGGTAGGTATAAAATAGTCATAGAGATGTAAAGTACAACATAGGGAATATTGTCATGATATTGCAATAACTGTGTGGTGCCAGATGGGTATTAGAAATATTGGGGAGAACACTTTGTCAAGTATATGATTGTCTAACCAATATGCTGTTCACCTGAAACCAATACAAAATAATATTGAAAGTAAAGTGTAATTGAAAAAAAAAACTAAACTGATACTTCCAAATGCCTTTTCTTATTTATACTCTGACAAGGGTATATGAATTTCCTAACAATTTTGCCAATTTATTAATATTAAGTTGTAATTTTATTTTTTGCCCAGTGAGTGTGTGTGAAGTAACATTTTGTCTTATTTTGTTTTCTCTTGATTACCCATGAGTTGAGGACATTTTTAATATATATTTATTAGTCATTTATAGTTCCTGGTTTGTGACTTGCCCATTTTTCTATTCTATTTGTTGTCTTTTTTTGTTGATTTGTTGCAATTTGCCTTATGTAGATTGAAAAACATTTTATCCCACTCTTTTGTTATATAGAAATTTAAAATTTTGATGAAGTCAAATTTGTAAATCTTTTCCTTCATGGTTTTATTCAGGTTAAATACTTTTTTGTTGTTGTTGTTAAATTGATAGATTAAAAAAATTAGGAATTCTTATCAGGTAACCTTTCACTGACTAAAGGAGTGATCATAATAATTTGTTATTATAGTGGATGATTTTAATGAATTTCTGAGTATTGAACCTTCATTAAATTCTTTGGATAAAATCTACTTAGTGGTGATTTACCCTTTCAAAAAACTGCTGATTTCAATGTGTTACTAATGTATTTGTGCATTATACTCATAAGTTAGAATTATAGTGTTTATTTTTTTCTTCCTCTCTCTTCTCCCTCTTTTCCTTTTCTTCCTTTCTCCCTGTCTCTTTTCATTCCTTCCTTCCTCTCATTCTCTGTGTATTTTTCTTTATAATTTTTGATGTTGTGGTTATGTTGTTTTGTAGAATGATTTAAGTTTTCTCCTTTTCTGAACTCTATAGTGGTTATATAGTATAAGAATGAGTAAACTATTTGGTAAATGTTTTCCAATTAATTTATTTGAGTCTAGCAGTTTTCTTTAGATGATCTTTGACTGCCCTGTAGTTTTTTTCCCATAGTTATTTGTATGGTCAGGTTTTTGCTAATTTATAGTTTCTTAGAAAATTGTCCATTTCAAATATATTTTCACCTTTGTTAGATCAAGTACATGTTTTCCTAACAATTTAAAAACTCTAACTAGCTCTGGCTGGTTTGGCTCAGCAGTTGGAGCGTCGGCATGCGGACCAGAGCGTCCCAGGTTCAGTTCCCGCTAGGCCCTAGTGGCTAGGGGCACATACCAAAACAAACAAACAAACAAACAAACAAACAAACAAACAAAACTCTAAATTTACTTCCTTTGTTTCTTCTAATGTTATTATGCATTGCTGTCCAATGGTCTGTTTTATTGATCTTTTTCAATAACAGTTTTGGTTGGCTTTATTTATTTATTGTCTTTTTTTTTTAATCCTCACCCGAGGATATTTTTCCATTTTTTTGTACAGATAGAGTGGGAGGGAGAGAGAGAAAGGGAGAGAGAGAGAGAAACATCGACGTGAAGAGACACATCGAGTGGCCGCCACCCGCACGACCAACCAGGGCTGGGGACAAACTTGCAACCGAAGTATGCGCCCTTAGCGGGAACCGAACCCGGGTCTCTCCGGACCGCAGGCCGACGCTCTAACTGCTGAGCCAAACTGGCCAGGGCTATTTATTGTCTTTTAATTTTGGCATCTATTTAATTAATTGCTACTTTTATTTTTATAAATTACTTGTTTTTCTTGCTGAGTTTATTTTTTTATTTTTTTGTATTTTTTCCTTTGATAATTTCAAACTTACAGAAAAGTTGCCAGAATAGGACAAGGAACTCCATCTCTATACTCTACCCACATTCATCAACTATAGTTGACCCTTGAACAACTTGGTGGGGTGATTAGGGACCTGACACTCCTCCCAATTGAAAATCTGTGTATATTTTAACTCTCCTCAAATTAACTACTAATAGCCTACTGTTGATTGGAAGCCTTATAAACAATGGATTAACATATTTTATATATTATGTATATTATATGCATTCATGACATACCTAACCTTAATTTTTTTTGATATTTCTAGGCTATGTGGTTTGTCTACAAGTGTTTTCAAATTGTTGCAAATACAAAAAAATGATCTATTTATTTATAGAAAAAAATCCATGTATAAGTGGACCCAAACAGTTCAAACTTCTATTGTTCAAGGGTCAACATACTTACATTTAGCCCCATTTATTTACTTTTTTTTCCCAGCTCTATAGAGGTATAATTGACAAAATTGTATATGTACTTAAAGGGTACAATGTGATGATTTGATAGACATATACATTGTGAAGTGATTGCCACAATCAAGTTAATTAGCCCATCCATCACTTCGTATAGTTCCTTTTTTGTGAGTTTGGATGACAACTCTTAAGATCTACTCTCTCAGAAAATTTCAAGTATACACTACAGTGTTATTAATTATAGTCTTATAATTGGAAGTGTGTACTTTAGCATTCTCTCCCTGAATGGTTTTATTTATGCATATTAATTATTCAGAACCACTTGAGTGTAAAATGGAGGCATTTTGCCCAGTTACTTCTAATTACTTAAGTATGATATTTTTAAGAACCACAGTACAGTTATCAAAACCAGGAAGTTTAATAGTGATGCAGTACTATTATGTAAGCCACAATTCATATTTAGATTTCATCAGTTGTCCAAAAAGGCCCTGTGTAAACTATTCCAATCTATGATATGATTTAAGACATGTATTGCATTTAGTTGTTGTCTCTGTAATGTCATTTAATCTGGAATATTTCATTAGCCTATTTTTTTATTTCTTGACTTTGACATCATTAAAGTATAGGCCAGGTGCTATTTTTTTCTTTCTTTCTTTTTTAGAATAACTCTCACTTTAAGTGTATCTGTTTAGATTAGTTCAAGTTACACGTTTTTGGTAGAAGTACCACAGAAGTAATAACATATTCTTAGTGTATTATATCAGGAGTCACTTGATGTTGTTTGTTTACAGTGATATCTGTAAGGCTTCTTCACTCTAAAGTTATTATTTCCCTCTATTAATAAGTAATTTGTTAGGAGACATTGTGTGATGATGTAAATATCTATTCCTCATAAACTTTTTGCCTTTGGATTTATTTTATTCTATTTCTAGCCCATCGTGTTGAAAGCTTAGTTTATTTATTTCATTTTTCATTTTTTAAAGTACTTAAGATTATAAATTTATTTATTTTTCCTTTTTATTAATTTATTTTTGTTACAAATGTTTCTCCTTTTTCCTCCATTGACCCCCTCCTCCCGATCCCGCCCCTGCACTCGTCCCCAGCATTGTTCTGTGTCCATGGTTATGCATACCTCCACATAAGTTCTGTGATTTATCTCTTCCTTCCCCTATCCCCCAACCCAACCCCCCTTCTGAGGTTTGTCAGTCTGTACCCTACTACTGTGTCTCTGAGTCTGTTTTGTTCATCAGTTTGTTTTGTTCATTATATACCACAAATAAAATGTGATATTTGTCTTTCTCTGATTGGCTTGTTTTGCTTAGGATAATACTCACCAGGTCCCTCCATGTTGTCTCACAGGATAAGAGATCTTTCTTTCTTACAGCTGCATAGTACTCCATTGTGTAGATGTACCACAGCTTTTTTATCCATTCATCTACTGATGGGCACTTGGGCTGTTTCCAGATCTTAGCGATTGTAAATAGTGCTGCTATGAACATGGGGTATATATATTCTCTCTGATTGGTGTTTTAGGCTTCTTAGGATATATTCCTAGAAGTGGGATCACTGGGTCAAATGGCAGTTCAATTTTTAACTTTTTGAGGAAACACCATATTGTCTTCCATAGTGGCTGCACCAGTCTGCATTCCTACCTGCAGTGTACCAGTGTCCCCTTTTCTCCACACCCTCGCCAGCACTTGTTTGATGATTTGTTGATGGCAGCCATTCTGACAGGTGTGAGGTGATACCTCATTGTTGTCCATAAATTTTTCTTAATACATTGTTTAAACATATCAATTGGAAGTACTTACAGTAGGGCTGGGAATGAAAGGAACAAGTAGGTGGGGATATTGTTTATAATAATCTGCTGCTAAGACACTGGCAATAAGAATCTGAACAGAGTATTTGAAAGTTGCCCCAAGTCACCCATTTCTTAACAAAATGTTTTTAGTCTTGATTTAAAGAACAAAAGATATGCTTTATGATGATTGTGATTGTCACTCCTATGAGTAATAAAAAATTCTTGAAAATTGTGAAATTAAGAAGTTACTATTTCTTTAGTGCCACTGGCACCTCAGGACTTGTTTAATATACAGCTATCTCAGATTACATTTTTACTTTACCATTTCAGGAGCTGTGGCGGTGGCGTGGAAGAATCCTGTTTCAAGTTGGTTTACTGCTATGCTCCACTGTTTTGGTGGAGGAATTTTATCCTGTATATTGCTTGCGGAGCCTCCATTGAAGTTTCTTGCAGACCACACTAATATATTACTGGCATCTTCAATCTGGTAAGCTACCATTTTAATGAACTATTAGACATTTAAAAATTGTTTTGTAAATATTTAGTAAATACAATGTTTTTCTTTAAAAACTAGTTTATGTTATTGAAAAGTTAATGCATGTGCAAAGGAAGGAACTCAAAAAATCCCAAAGGTTTTATGTGCAAAGCATGTTTCTTTCTTACCCTTCTCCCTTATTCTCTCTCAGAGGCAGTTATTGTTACCATTGTCTAATGTATCTTTTTTTTTATAAACATTTTTTTCTTTATTGATGTTAGAGAGAGGGAGAGAGGGATAGAAACGTTGATGAGAGATGAGAGAGAACATCGATTGGGCATTGTGTTAATGTATCTTTAGTGGAAGCATTTTCTTCAGTGAATCTTTTTATCCTTTCTTAAAATTTTAAATGTTTTCCCTTTATGCATTCTATCTTTTTAAGGCACTGTTATATTTATTTCTCTTTGTTTTTCTTCCAATTTGGCCTTCATTTGTGAAATGATATTTTTTTCCTGAGTATTTTATCTTCAGTTCTCAGTGTTATTAATTCTGATGTATGTTGTTCTTTTGTCTTGTTATCACTTTCATAATGTCTTTAGCTTGTTTTAAACTAGTAGGTTGCAATTTTGCTATGTTTTATGGACATGTTTTCCTGAGTGCTTTCATTGTTTGTAGGGATTTATTCTGTTTTTGTTTTTTTAGAATACATTTTTATGGGCTTGGACATTGATCCTTTTCTGTTGGTCATATTTATGGAGAATTAGTTTTGTTTTGTTTTTTTAAAACTTTTAGCATAAGGTGGAATTCAGGAAAGTTTTTCTGACTTTGTAGAGCTCTGCCCCTGTGTTCTAAAGATGATGACCTGCATTCTGCGATTTCCTAGTTTGGTCTGATTCTGTTTCTTCGGTTGTTCTGCCCTACTCAGTTTTGATCTTAACACCAGCAGTTTCTTCTCACTGTGGGGCTTGTTCTAGAACACAGACTGGGTGGATCAGTTTTGAAAGTTCATGGTGACTAAATCGATTCAACCTCTTTTCAGACCTTCTTATAGACCTTTTGTCTCACACAGTATTGTAGGTGCCAGAATCCCTTCCAGTTTCAGCTATTGTTGTTGGTTTCCAAATTGGCCTGATATGCTTTCTAGCAAATACTGTACCCATTAGCTATTTTTGAGTTGCTCTTAGGTTCATTAGTTGCTGCCTTGTTGCTTTCTTTTCCCTGCCAAGCAATGTAGGTCTTGTGGGTGTTGGTGAATTGTCTCTGTGTCTTGGGATTTGAAGGGTACCTTGTTACATAGTTTTGTTGTAGGTATTGTGGATGGGATTTTGGTTTTGCTGTCTAGATGCTTTGTCTCTGTTTATGTGGAGATTTAAAGAGATCAAAATCTATGTAGCCATTGCTGCCAACGTCTTCCCAGAGCTCTTGCCATTAGTTTTGATGTCTCCTATAAGTGCACTCTATCATGTTCACACAACAAAATCGCCTAGTGACACATTTCTCAGAACATGTTCCCACTGTTAAATGACACATGACTGTATATAGTTCTCTGGGATTTGTTTTCTTCATTGAACATTATGTTACTAAGATTCATCTGTATTCTTGCATGTAGCTATAGTATATTCCCTCTCACTGCTATATAATTCATTATATTAATATCTATATATTATTTATTCTTCTGTTGATGAGCATTTTAATGGTTCTAGTTTTGTTGGTCATTATAAAACAATGACCAAATGTCCCAGACAATTTTCTAAGTGCTTTACATATATTATCTTTCATAAATCTCACAAAAACCCTGTAAGGTAGGTACTGTTTTATTCTCATTTAACAGATGAGGTATCGAGGCAAGAAGGATTAAATAACTTGCCCAATGTATCTCAGATACCTAGTTGGAGCCAGGATTGAAACCTAGGGTATCTAGTTCTTTAGTCTGTGCTTATGTAGTAGATTGTTTTGGATTCTGGAAGTACTAATATTGTCTGTATCCTCACAGACCCTTAATTATTTAAAAAAATGATACTTGCTGACACACACAGTATATTTTACTATTTAAGGTTTACTGTTAAGAATATATTTATAATTTTTGCTTCATTTGATTTTAATTTGAGAGATAAAATGATGTTTGGAATGTACTTTAAACTCTAGCAAGATAAATTAAGGGATTCCATGAATACCCTTATTGGAAAAGTCATCTTTATTCAGTACAATAGCTCATAGTGCTCACATCTGGAGATTAGCACCATCTACTGGCAAAGGGAAACAACTGTTGTGAAGACTACCCACTTTCATAGGATTTTTCTTTTTGAAACTGTTTCTGGGGGAAATAAATATGTTGTGATTTTGCTGTGTATTGATTTTTGTATCTGTGTTGGTTTTCCTTAAACTTCAAGTATCTATTATGTATTGTACATTTGCATAACTGAGACTGCATTTGTATGAGGAAAAATATAAGAAAAGATATAGTTTTACAGGTCTGTCCTGCAGTAGTCTTTCAAATCATATAAAGTTATCAATTTGTTAGAGTAGTAAGAGCAAGAACAAAGGTGTCATATTGGGCTAATCTGAACTGTATTTAGTTTATAGTTATGTTTTGGCTTAGTCCAGTAATTCTGTGTTTGGTAGAAGAGTGGAATTAATAGTAGAGTGAAAACAAAGAATTCTGTGACTAACCATGGGAAGCTTCTCTCTGCTCAACTCTTGGTATTAACCTAATTTCTACTTATATTTTTCCTACTTAAACTGGTTTAGCTTTCATTTGTCAGTGGCTTAGCATCCTGTTTGTATCTTGTTTTAGACTAACTTCTATTATTTAGCACAGTTCTTTGTCATTTTTTCCTCTTCATTAATCTAAGTGACTTAAAAATGGATGAGAAAGAAATGGATGAGAAATCAGTTGTCTTCTTGTTCCATTTCTTGTTCAATATGTTTCATTTCTTCTTTTCTGATATGTTTTCTATAGGCATTTTACAAGTTAAAAGTACCTTAGATGTTACAATTTTAGTTAAAAGTGAAATGATAATTTTTACAGAAGGAGGGACATAATGATTGCTTAATGAGTACTGGTTGAGTGTTTCATTAAAGAAATTTTAAAGAGCTAACTTGTGCCCTGGTAGGTTTGGCTCAGTGGTTAGAGTGTCGGCCTGTGGTCCAGAGAGACCCTGGTTCGATTCCCGCTAAGGGCAGTTACCTTGGTTGCAGTTTGTCCCCAGCCCTGGTTGGGGTTGTGCGTAAGGCAGCTGCTCCATGTGTCCCTTTCATGTTGATGTTTCTCTCTCTCTCTTCCTCTCTCTCCCTCCCACTCTATCTGAACAAAACATGGAAAAGTGCCCTGGCCGGCTCAGCGGGTAGAGCATTGGCCTGCGGTCCAGAGAGACCCGGGTTTGGTTCCTGCTAAGGGCATGTACCTCATTTGTAATTTGTCCCCGGCCCTGGTTGGGGTCATGTGGGAGGCAGCCACTTGATGTGTCCCTTTCACGTCGATATTTCTCTCTCTTCCTCTATCTGAACAAAAAATGTCCTCGGGGGAGGATTGAAAAAAAAATGGAGAAGTGTCCTCGGGTGAGGATAAAAAAAAAAATTAACTTGTGTTATAGAGCAGGAATGGTTGTTTAAAAGCCATTAGTCTGCTTGAGCACAATACATTACTTGTAAGTCTACTTACTGAGCACAATAAATAATTATTCTTTTGCCCATGACTGTTTAACATTAAAACGAGACCTGTTTTAAATGTTAGCTTATTATAGGTATACTTTAGAGATATACGATTAAATAAAATAAACACTCATTTATTAAAAATAGCAATAATTACAAATTTTGGATTGTATGTCATGATGTTACATAGTTGAACATAAAAAGTCCAAGATTGTGCCTGGCCAGTGTGGCTCAGTGGTTGAGCATCAAACCATGCACCAAGAGGTTACTGGTTCAATTCCGGGTCAGGGCACATGCCCAGATTGTGGGACAAATCCCCAGTGGGGGGCATGCAGGAAGCAACCAATGGATGTTCTTTTCCATCGATGTTTCTATCTCTCTCTCCCTCTCCTTTCTTCCTCTAACAAACAATAAAGAAAAAAATATATAAAAAATTTTAAAAAAGTCCAAGATTGCTCTTATAATATAGGTTTTTAACTCATTGAAGATAGTCTCAGTGTAGAGAATGGAAATGGGGTCATTTATATTTTTGTTTGTTGTTTGTTTGAGTGTGTTACTTTTGAAACCAAATCTCTCTTTCTTAATCTGATCTGCAATGGATACCAAAATATTTTAATTTTATTTAAAATCCATTTAAAAATTGCTTAAGTGTAACTCATCCCCCTACCCCAATATCTAACTGACTTCTTGAAAATTTGTTTTATATTTAAAGAGAGAAATTTACAGAGGCTTTCAAAATATATGAACATGTAAAATTTAAAAATCATACTAGTAATTTTCAAAAAGCTTTTTACTGCTTTCAGGTAATTTATTGCTTTATCTCAATCTCTTTAATTATCAACTGGTCTTTGATTTGATATATTTTGTATTTTGCCTCAAGATTAACTGTTAATAAATGATTTAATTCAGGACTACTTTTCATCATGCTGAGTTTTAGGTGAGGGGATAACAGGATTAATTATTCCTGCCATTTGAAGTCTATTATAATTTATTATGAGAATTGCAACCTTTGTAAAGGGGGTGGCAAAAGTAGTTGTGAGTAAACAAAAACAGGTTTATTTTTGTGTTATTATTTATTAATTATTGTATTGTTTTCCATATGAACAACAGTAAACATACTTTTGCTCCACTGTGTATAGTATAAAGAAAAATGTATTAAGAGCTATCTATGTTTAGGCATAGGAACCAATTGTTTTAGTTGTACAGAGTCATTAGAATTTAGTTTGAACTGAGAATGTTAAATAAAACAAAACTCCTCGAGTCAGTGTATTTGATACTATTTGAGTGGGACCTTGAAGAATAAGAAGGAATTGGTAGGTGGAGATAAAGGAGAAAGTGTGCCTCAGGCTGAACAAACCAATGCATCTTGTATTGGGTCTCCAAAGCAGTATTTTGGCAAATAGATTTCATATTCCATGCGTACTTTTCAAAATTCTTACTTTATGAATCATGAATTGCAATAAGATTAACAACTTTTTTTGAAGAAATATAATACTTTTTTCATATAGTGTATTCCATATCACTCCATTAGAAGGAAGACATGTTCTGCTTTAAGCACAAAATTGTCAGCTAGAGAGTATTTTTAGGAAAAGGGGGAAAAAGTAGAGTGTTTTCCAATTTAACACTACTGCTAAACTGTTTGAACAGATGCTTAGAACAAATGAAGCTTCAAAAAATAATTCACCCGAGGAGGAGTGAATTATCTTAAACTAGTATCACAATTTCATTGGTTAAAACTTAATCTTACTCAACTGAATTGAAGAACAAGCTTCATATTCTTTTAGCTATATGAAACTATATTTTTCCTTAATACAAATCTATCTCCTTGAGAGCTATGACCTTTCTTTGTATAGTTTGCAGTTTATGTACCGCACAGGTAAAGATTTAGTGGGGTTGAGATGCAGCCATTGTTCAGCTACCAAGGGCCCTTTTCCATTTCTTTTTTTTTTTCCCCAGAGAAAAAACACTCTCTACCCTAGAAGTGATTATATGTTTCTTTGTTTATTTTTAGTGGATTTAGCATTTAGCATTCTAGAAGAGTGTAGGTACAAATTAGGAACTCAGTAAATACTTTTTGACAGATATAGAGTATTTAGAAGTCCAAGCAAGTTGAAATTTCCCTCTGATTATGACTTTTTGTGAAATTATTATATGTATTTCATGTGATTTTTAAAAAAATCAACTCTACCCAATCCGTGGTCTTCTTGAAGTCAAATTCCATGTTTATATGGAGTTTATGTTTATGTTTGTTGTGTTTTGTAAAATTTTGTTATTGCTGATATGCTGTTTTTTATTTCTGTTCTGATTCTATTTATATATTAAAATATTTACATTTTAATTTCAGGTATATTATTTTTTTTTGCCCACATGACCTAGTTTCCCAGGGCTATTCTTTCCTACCTGTACAACTTCTGGCTGCAGGAATGAAGGAAGTGACCAGAACTTGGAAAATAGTAGGTGGAGTCACGCATGCTAATAGCTATTACAAAAATGGCTGGATAGTCATGATAGCTATTGGATGGGCCCGAGGTAATATTAACAGCATGTGTTCATAAATATTCTGTTATTGGTGTACTACAACTACTGAACAATTCTCTAGTTACATTAATGGGGACCACATACTTTAATAGCAATGACTTTTTTGAAGGATGAAAGACTTGTATCTGTTGGCTACTAAAGTTAATTCAAAACTAGCACTTTTCACTAGTATTAGCCATCAGTCATTATTTTGAGCCCAACTCAAACTTTTTTGAGCCCATATAAAACTTTTATGATTGGTTTCATTGGCATCCCCAGAACTAGAGGGATTCACAATTAATTAAGGTATAGTAAGTATCATCATAAATAAAGTTTCCATAAGAAATTATGCATGTAAAAAATTTTGTTTTGTTTTTTTAATCCTGAATAATTGGAAATGGTAAATATGATTGATATGATTGATTATGGGTTCATGTTTGCTTTACATTACTTACCTTTCTTGTTCAGTGTTTTTGTATGTAGGAATTGAACAAATTTCTCCAATCTCAAATATAGTGTATTTTACCTAAAACTAATACCAGAGAAGGAAATGACAAAGCAGAGGATTTTATTCTCAGGTCTGAAACAAACCTCTAGCCATATCTCTGTGCCCGAGGACCCAATTTTAACCTTAATTATGGTACAGTATACAGTTGCCATGATGGTGAAGGGGAAAAATTACAATAGTGTCAGTTCCATAAATGTATAAGGCAACTTTTTTTCTTCTTCCCCAAACTGGGATTTTAAGTCAGGAGATAACATTATGGCTTTGTTTAAAATAATTTCTCTAGAAAATTTGGCTAAATATTCTTGTTTAATTTTCTTAATTTTAGGTGCAGGTGGTAGCGTTATCACAAATTTTGAGCAGTTGGTAAAAGGAGGTTGGAAACCACAAGCTGATGAATGGCTGAAGATGTCCTAGTGAGTTGGCATAAACTATACTGAGACCTGACTTTTTAACCCCAGATCCCATCAAATTTGTTTTTAAAAACATTTTATGGATTCTAAATGTGGATGAAATATAGGTGAAAAAAATAAATAGTAGTAATAATGGAAAGAAAACCAGGACACTTTATTCTTTTAAAAAGTCTGCTCATTTTCAAATGTAGTTTTTAAAATATATATTGAGACCTGGCTGGTTTAGCTCAGCTGTTAGAGCATTGGCCCGTGGGCCAAAGGGTCTTGGGTTTGATTCAAGGGCATGTACCTGGGTTGCAGGTTTAATTCCTCACCCTGTCAGGGTTGTGCGAGGGGCAACAGTTGATGTGTCTCTCTCACATTGATGTTTTTCTCTCTACCCCTTTCTTCCATCCTTCCACTCTAAAAAAAAATCATTGAGTGAGGATTAACAGCAACTATGTGTGTGTGTGTAATATATATATATATATATATATTCATTTATCTGTGGGTTCCTTTCCTTAGGAAATAAAATCAATCAAAAATTTCCAGATTATTATAGAATTGTGGGAAGACTATGAATTTATGGACAGAGAATTACATAGGCACAGACTTCTCTGTGGAAATTAATCAGTTGCAGGCTCTTGGCATTTTCATTAATGAAATCACCCAGATTTCAAATTTATATAGTTCTGTTAGTAAAATGTCAAGCTTATGAGAACAAATCAGTACATTGTCATAAAGCCCTGTTAGCTGCTTTAAAAATGAAAGTTGAGCTTAATTGTATATAACAATAAGAAAAAGATTAGAGTAAATAGCCTACTTGTTCAATGCATACTACCTTTTGTGTCCACTTAAAAAAACTAATTGTTAGATATTTTCTAATGACACTGACCCAATATTAAATAAATCACAAATATATCCCTGTGTATCTGAAAAATGAAACAGAGAAGTAAAGTTTCTGTTCCCACAATTCCAGGAGGAAAAGATTTAGGGAATAGTGGGCCTAATAATCAAGGCAAGGAAGGACTTTATGTGAAAATAAGCTCATTAGAATGGATTAAAAATGAAGGTTGAGCCGTGGCCGGTGTTGCTCAGTGGTTAGAATGTCAGCCTGTGCACTGAAGAGTCTTTGTTCAAATCTGCTCAAGGGCACATGCCTGGCTGGGTTGCAGGTTCTATCCTTGGCCCGGTGGCATGTGTGGGAGGCAACCAATTGATGTATCTCTCTTATATCGATGTTTCTCTCTCTCTCTCTCTCTCTCTCTCTCTCTCTCTCTCTCTCTCTCCCCCTCTCCCTCTCTCTCTCTCTCTCTCTCCTTTTCTCCCTCCCTCCCTTCCAGTTTCTCTAAAAAAAAAAAAATCAATGGGAAAAAAATTCTATGGGTGAAGATTAACCAAAAAATAAAAAAAAAGAAAGTTGAGAAACGCTATGGATAATGAAGTATATGTTTGAGAACCAAAAAATTCCAGGATATTTAACTTGGAAAGTACTCCTTAAAGCTGGAATGAGGCAGTTTAAAATAGAACAAAGAGGCTTTGGTTGATAATAACATATAAATAAGGCATTAGTGTAATTAAGGGAAAATTTTTCTAATTTTTAGTGCATGCTTTAAAAATATCTTTTATAGCCCTGGCCAGTTTGGCTCGGCGGTTAGAGCGTCGGCCTGCGGTCCGGAGAGACCCGGGTTCGGTTCCCGCTAAGGGCACGTACTTCGGTTGCAGTTTGTCCCCGGCCCTGGTTGGTCGTGCGGGTGGCAGCCACTCGATGTGTCCCTTCACATCGATGTTTCTCTCTCTCTCTCCTTCCTCTCTCTCCCTCCCACTCTATCTGTACAAAAAATGGAAAAGTATCCTTGGGTGAGGATAAAAAAATAAAATAAAAAATAAATCTTTTATAAGCCATTTCTTGGGGCTTTAAAACTGAAATCAAATTATGTTTCTTTTCTGTTCAGAAACTTTCAGTGACTCCCCCAAATGGCCTATAAGACCCTCCAAGATCTGCCTCTCCCCCACACCCAATTTGCTTTGATTTCATCTCTTACTATTCATTCCCATGTTCACTACACTCTGTTCTTAAAAAAGCCAGGTGTGGTCTAGTTTAATGCTTGCTTATCTCTCTGTCCAGAATCTTTTTTCCCAGGTGGCTACCTCCTTATCTACGTTATTCAGAGTATTTTCTCAAAGCTCACCTTCTCAGAGAGGACTACCCTGGTTAAAATGGGAACATTTTCTTCTAGTATTCTTTTTTCACACAGCATTTGTCATATTCTATCATTTATTTATTCTCCTCTTCCCTTGGCCTCCCTCCAACGCTTCCAAGAATACAAGATGACAAGGACAGGGATTTTTGTCTTTTTTTATTGCTTTTGTATCCCAGGCACCTACCACACAGTAGACAATAAATATTAGATGAGTGAATGATTGACAATCTGTCAGGCACTTATTATACTTTGTCCATCATGATATTTTGTGTATGTGTGTATATATTTAAGTTTTTCTATCTCTGTTTCCAAATTCTTTTGCATATCAGAGAAAACCTATTTAGTCTTAGAGAATACATGTGTTGTCATAAACAGAATATTGGTAGAAATATGAATGTTAGAGGTGCTGGTGAGTGCTCAGAAGGAAATGAGGAACATTATATTAGAAACTTGAGAGATGATACAGTTACATAGTGGCAGAAAACTTAGCTAAATTGCATAACTTATAAGCATAACTGATAAGCAGTGAACTTGGATAGTTAGCTGAGGAGATTTAGAAGCAAAGTGTTGAAGGTCTGGACTGGTTTCTTCTTGCTGCTTATAATAAAGTGTGAGAGGAAAGAGTTGAATTGAGGGAATAACTACTACAAAAAGAAACCAAGACTTGATTCAGGAAATTCTCAGCCAATCTAGATTGCAAAAGATGATAAAATTAGGAGACTTATTCTTAGGAAAGCTTGCTGTGGAGAGAAAGTCAAGGGTGTTGCTGGACAATTTTTGCTAGTGTAAAAAGGGATCAGGCATGTGATACATGGATCCATTCAGCTAGCAGAGCAGAAACCAGGACTAGAGATGGGATTATTCACGAAAAATTTATGAAGGACCATTTTGACTAATGGCATGGATCCCTGTGTCATACACAGGAGATCCACAAGGTCCTTGAAAATGTTATATCAGCAGAAACATTGCCAGTTTGGACTGAGAGGGACAGAGATAAGATGTAATTAAAAGAGGGCTATCAGACTCCCAAAATTTTACAGACAGGAAACAGGCTAATAAAACTGCTCAGCTGCAAACATATGCTACCCTTTAAGGAAAAGTAAGAATGGCCTTAAGGTGAGAGCTGTGGGCCTCGAGGCCTGAGGCCAGACACACAGGCTGGAGTTGCAGGTGCAAAGGCCAGAGCCCTGAGTGCAGGGGTTGGAACTGCACATTCAGAGGACACAGCCTCAAGCCATAGAAGATTATTCCCAGACCTCAGAACCTACTGGAATTTGCCCTGCTGGATTTTGGAATTATGTAGGACCAGTGACTTCTTTCTTCTGTTTTTTTTTTTTTCCCTTTTGGAATGGAAATGCCTATAACTGTTACTCTGTACCTATTGTACCGCTGTATTTTGGAAGCAGATGGCTTATTTACTAGTTTCACAGGAATCTACTATAAGAATTTCCTAAATGCTTCCTGATCTTCCTGACCAATCTCACTGCCTTTTTCCTAAATCCCAGCCCTTTTCCAATTCCCTGCCCCAATTTATTGTCTACATTCCTTGTTCCTCACATTCATTGCTTCTGGTTTTATGCTGTAAGAACACAATCCAGAATGGAATGTGTGTATGCTAAGAGGATGCCTGTGATGAGGCAGTATTGAAACCAAACTATTAGAAACAAAGAGTACCAAAATAACATTAAGACAGACCTAATTTTATTTGTTTTTTCTTATCTCATCTTGTTAAAATCTCAATTGGTGTACATTTTATAATACAGTTATACATGTATATAATTCACAAATGAATTGATAAACTTACTTTAGGAAGTATCTTAAATACATTTTTACCAATTGGGATACACAGTTAAAAGTTTAGAAACCACTTTTCCAAAACAGGAATGCGGCCTGATCATTGTTAAGCAAAGTCCAAAATCCTGTTGCCCAAACCTAATTCATTTTGAACTTAGTCCTTAGCTTGAAATAATCAATTCTGTTTTTCATAAAATGGCTCATAGAGGCTTTTACATTCTGAGAATTTACTATTTATCTTTTTTTAGTTATAATCATAAAGAGCTAGATAGTGATCTGTTACTGTGATATGCTTTAAATATGTGGCAAATGTATGACATGAAAATAGTGCTTCTTATTTGTAGATTACCATCTTATAGACTTTAAACATTCAGCATTAATTTATTAAGATATTAGCTAATGTGGATATTGTGTGCTGGAGGTAGCTCATACTGGTTTATAGGGCCAGTTGTGTATATCTCGTCTCTATTTTACACAGCAACCTGAAGTGGTTGTGATGGGAATATTTATACAATGGAAATGAGAAAATCCTACAAATCAGGGCCTTCTTTTCCTTCCCCAATCCCACCCAAGGAACCTGTTTAGCATTGTAAGGTTTTTTCAGGACTAATCTACACTTCCCAAATTATGCTGTGGAACATAGGACTTTCAGATCCTTTGTGAGAAAATGTTATATGGTAAAATATATTTTATAAATATTGCATGTAGAAATGTACTCTGTCAGAGTCACAACATGTATGGACATTCTAAAATATCTGATATATTTAAATTTTTTTTTCTTTATTGATTTTAGAGAGAGAGAAAGGGAGAGGGAGAGAGAGAGAAACATTGATGAGAGAGAACATCAATTGGCCGCCTCCTGTATGCCCCTAACTGGGGATTTGGCCCACAATCTAGGCATGTGCCCTGACTGGAAATCCAATTGGTGACTTCCTGGTGCGTGGGGTCGACGTTCAACCACTGAGCCACACCAGCTGGGCTAAAATCTCTGATATTTTATGCTGTGAAGAAAGGTATTTAATTTTCTATAACTAGCATTTCCAAAACTTTGTAAGTAGATTCACAGAACTCATTTTTTGTGTTATATCTATTAATAACTCATTAAATTAGTATTTTGTAGAGACTCTTTGAGAAATATAGACATAGATCATGTGAATTACTTACTGACTTAAAGTATGTTTTATTTTCAGCCCTGCCAAGGTAACCCTGCTGGGGTCAGTTATCTTCACATTCCAGCACACTGAGCATTTGGCAATATCAAGGCATCATCTTGTGTTCTTCTATACCGTGTTTCTTGTGGTCACAAAGGTAAGAGTTCAAAGTAGCAGTACAGTATTACAAAGTCTGTGTAACCAAATTCTGCATACGAGGCAAGTAACAGGAACATTTATTTTTTATTGTTATTACAGACTAAAAAGATGAATTTTGGGGAGTTTATTCAGCAAATTCATGACTTTTTGAAACTTAGCTCTCCTATGATTCCTCATTTGATTTATGGTGAGACTACCAGGAATGACTTGCAGATAAACTAATAGTATATTGGAGGCCAGAGAGTAGTAGAAATAACCAAGGCTGATCAGAGACCGCAAAACACAATGTCATGACATTTACTTGTAAAATGAGGTACTTGGGTAGATGTTCTCTGAGGTTCCTTTAAGCTTTAACATTTTTAAATTTCATATTAGGACATTTGTGGTCAGTCTCTTGTATTGTTATTATCTGGTTTGAAGCTTTATTCCTTCTTGAAGATAGGAAGTAGTGTGATATAAGATCATAGGTTTTAGAGACAGGTTGTCTTAAGTTCAAACCTAGCTTTGCTCTCTAATCCCTGAATAGACAATTCACTTAATGTCTCCAAATCTTGATTTTCCTCATGTTCATTGTGCTGATATTGAGAGCGTTGGAGATGATGTATGTCATTCTGTTACTGTGCCTGACACATCTTATGAATTCTATTTGCAGCTGTATCATGAGACTAATTCTGATTACAGTTCTTCTTACCATTATTAGATATTATTCCCTATTCACAGCTAGACAACTGTTTTTAAAATAAGATTATTATTTATGCCTAGAGAAATTTTATAGCTAACTGGATCTCAGCCTAGGTATTTTTGGCCAAAAATTTATCTACAGAATTCTTAAAAGGAAACAGTGTATATTATATAAATTTATGTCTTAGAAAGAACCAAGTCACCATGAGGATCATTTAGTTCTGTTTCTGTAGTCTTTGCAATGGAGGTAATTTAAGTAATGCAAATATCTGAGGCAAAATCTCTTCACATGTGCCTTCCTCTTCCAGTCCTCACATTTTGGGCTGTGTGTATTTCTTTGTAACAGTTCTACTGAGATATATTTCGCATCCCATACAATTCATCCATTTACAGTATACAATTCAGTGGTTTTTATTTTTTAAAATTTTTTACATTAATTTATTTTTGTTACAGATGTTTCTCCTTTTCCCCGCACTGATTCCCCCTCCCCACCTCCCCACCTTGTCCCCAGCTTTGTTGTCCATGTCCATTGTTCATGCATACATGCATATAAATTCTGTGGTTTATCCACCCCCCCCACCCCCTCTTCTGGGGATTGTCAGTCTATACTCCACTTCCATGTCTCTGGGACTACCCCATTCTTCAGACTGTTATGTTCATTATATTCCACAAATAAGTGAGATCATATGATACTTGTCTTTCTCTGTTTGGCTTGTTTTGCTTAGGATAATACTTTCCAGGTCCCTCTATGTCGTCTCAAAGGATAAGAGATCTTTCTTTCTTACAGCTGTATATGTACCACAGCTTTTTTATCCATTCATCTACTGATGGACATTTGGGCTGTTTCCAGATCTTAGCTATTGTAAATAGTGCTGCTACGAACATGGGGGTACATATATTCTTTCTGATTGGTATTTCAGTTTTCTTAGGGTATATTTCTAGAAGTGGGACCACTGGGTCAAATGGAAGTTCAATTTCCCATTTATTAAATAGACTGTCTTTAATTTTTTGAGGTAACACCATAGTGTTTTCCATAGTGGCTGCACCAGTCTGCATTCCCACCAGCAGTGTACTAGAGTCCCCTTTTCTCCACACCCTCACCAACACTTGTTGTTTGATGATTTGTTGATAACGGCCATTCTGACAGGTGTGAGGTGATACCTCATTATTGTTTTAATTTACATCTCTCTGATGATTAGTGATGTTGAGCATTTCTTCATATGTCTCTTAGCCATTTGTATGTCCTGTCTGGAGAGGTGTCTATTTAGTTCCTCTGCCCATTTTTTAATTGGATTCTTTGTCTTCCTTTTGTTGAGTTGCATGAGTACTCTATATATATTGGAAATTAACCCCTTCTCTGACATATTATTGGCAATTATGCTCTCCCATAGAGTGGGTTGCCTTTCCATTTTGATGACTGTATCTTTTGCAGAAGCTTTTTAGTTTGTTGTCGTCCCATGTGTTCATTTTCTCCTTTGTTCTGTTGCTTTAAGTGATGTATCAGTGAAAATTCTGCTGCGTATGATGTCTGAAATTTTGTTGCCTACAGTTTCTTCTAGGATTTTTATGGATTCATGAGTCACATTTAAGTCTTTTATCCATTTTGAGTTTATTCTTGTGTAGGGTGTAAGTTGATGGTCTAGTTTCATTTTTTTTTTGCATGTAGCTGTCCAATTTTCCCAACACCATTTATTAAATAGACTGTCTTTACTCCACTGTATGCTCTTGCCACCCTTGTCAAATATTAATTGAGTATATTGCCTTGGGTCCATTTCTGGGTTCTCTGTTCTGTTCCACTGGTCTATATGCCTGTTCTTGTGCCAGTACCAGGCTGTTTTGATTACGGTGGCTTTATAGTATAACCTGAAATCTGGTAATGTGATCCCTCCTACTTTGTTCTTCTTTTTCAAGATTGCTGTGGCTATTCAAGGTCTTTTTTGGTTCCATATGAACTTTTGAAGTATTTGTTCTAGTTCTGTGAAATATGTTGTTGGTATTTTGATGGGGATTGCATTGAATCTATAGATTGCTTTGGGTAGTATGGACATTTTAATTATGTTAATTCTTCCAATCCATGAACAAGGTATGTGCTTCCACTTTTTTATATCTTCCTCTATTTTTTTTTTTTCAATGACCTGTGGTTTTCTGTGAATAGGTCCTTTATTTATTTGGTTAAGTTTATTCCTAGGTATCTTTTTTGTCACAATGGTAAATGGGATTGTTTTCTTAGTTTCTCTTTCTGTGAGTTCATCATTGGTGTATAAGAATCCCATCGATTTCTTGACTTTAATTTTGTATTGTGCTACTTTGCCAAATTCATTTATTAAGTCTAGTAAATTTTTGATGCAATTTAGTGGTTTTTAGTATAGTCGGAGTTGTACAACCATCACCACAATCAATATTAAAACATTTTCATCACCCCCAGAAGAAACCTCGTACCCATTAGCAGTCACTTCACATTTTCCTTTAATCCCCCCAGATGTAGACAACCACTAATCTACTTTCTGTTTATAAATTTGCTTATTCTGACATATTATGTAAATTGAGTTCTATAATATGTGGTCTTGTGTCTGGTTTCTTTCACTTAGCATGTTTTTGAGGTCATTTATTTTGTAGTATGTATCAGTATGTTATTCCTGTTTATTGCCAAATGATATTCCATTGTATGGATATACTGCATTTTATTTATCAGTCAGTTGGTGGATATTTGAGTTCTTTTACTGTTTAGCTAAAATGAAAATCAGCTATGAATATTTGTGTTCAAGTTTTTTTGTGGATGTGTGTTACATTTCTCTTGGTTATATATAGTAAATTCTACATTTAATCTTTTGAGAAACTTTTAGGAATTTACCAAAGTGGCTTTATGATTTTACATTTCTACCAGCACTGTGTGAGAGTTCTAATTTTATCACGTCTTTGCCAATGCTTCTCTTTTTTGTTAGAGCCATCTTAGTGGGTGTGATGTGGCATCTCATTGTTATTTTTATTTACATGTTTGACATAGGACTTCTCAGATTTTCTATTTTGTTTGTGTTCATTTTAATTAGTTGTATTTTTTTAAAGGAATTTTCCATTTCGTTTAAGTTTTCAATTTTGTCGACATGAAATTGTTAACAGTAGTTCTTTGCTGCTCTTTGTTTAATGTCTGTAGATTTCATCCTGGTATTTGGTCATTGTATTGTCTCTCTCTCTAAATCAGTCTAGCTATAGGCTTATCATCGATTTATTTGAAAGACCCACGCTGTGGTTTCATTGGTCTCTGTTTTATAGTTTACTCATTTCAGCTCTATATATGTCCTTTTTTGTACTTTGGGCTTACTTTGTTCTTTTTCTATAAAGAAAAAATGGATAAGTTTGATCCATAACATTTTTTTTCAAAGTTGCATGACAAAAAAAATACCATGGGCAAATTCAAACTACAGCTTTCAAACTGTGATAATATGCCTGTAACATATCACAGAGAGCTTGTATTTGTTACTTAAAAAGTAAGGAATTTTTTTGTTTTTTTAGGACCTAAAACCTGATATAAAAGATATAAAAATTTAAAGAAAGTTACCTAAGCAGTTTGCTTTATTCCATGAAAGACTTGTTGGTATTTTTATTGAGATTTATTAAATTTATAAATTAACTTACAGTGGCAGTCATATTACATAGGGAGAAAAGCATAGAGTAAACCAGAAGTGAGGACAGAGCTATCAGGTTCTCTAATATTTAGAGAAGCATGCTCCAGAATGGGAAACTGGGTAGAAGGGGCTAATTAATATGAGGAAAACCAGGAGGTGGTTTGAGGAAGGATGGACTAGTGCCCTGAATAGGTGGCTCAGTTAGTTGGAGCATCATCCCATACACCAAAAGGTTGTGGGTTCAATTCCAGGTCATGGCCCATACCTAGGTTGTGGTTTGATCCCCAGTTGGGATACACATGGGAGGCAACCATTAGGTGTTTCTTTCTCACATCAATGTCCCTCTCTCTTTCTCGTTCTCTAAAAAATAAAAGTCAATGAAAACATATCCTCAGGTAAGGATTAAAAAAAATAGGATAGAGCAGTCCATTGTGTTGAATTCTGTTGAATGCTGTTCAGGTAGTAAATTGTGGAATACATGAATAAGGGACAATGTTATTAAGCCTTTGGGGGATACAAATGGGTATATTATCTTTGAATAGATCAGAACTCTGTCCTCCAGATTTACTGTCTGAAAGGACACATGAGACATGTATACTATATTTTAAACTTTCCGAAGATAGGGACTAGTCTTGTTTTATTCATCACTGCATCCCTAGCAATGTATCCAGTACACATAGTAGATTTTTAATAT